TCTCTTTTATTAAGGGAGAGCAATTCAATACATTGCATTTTTTTTTTCTCCCAATCAGGCCCTTGCTGGCACTAATTTGGACCTTGGATCTGGATCATCATTCTTAATTGCTTTGTTATACCGGGATGACTTGACCGGTTATACTTTTCTTAAAGCATTAGTAAGTAAACATGATGTTTACTATTAAACATTATTTTATGCCATCTTTATTTTGTATGATATAATCATACATATGTGTGTCTCCATCGTGGTCGGACATTCAATACCACATTTATTTATAGTCTCAATATAATAATTATAAAAATAAATGTCTTTGAAACTACACGAGTTTCTTTGAGACTTTTGGAGAACACGAAGCATCGATTATTATGAATCTGATGCATTTGGAAGTCGAGAGACTAGCTCATCTAGACTTTCTTATTAATTTGCACTGTCTAAAAATATATTGACCCGTGCTTCATATATTCTCATAAGAGAAATATATTTTTGATTTTAAAGACATATTTCAAAGTCTTTAAATCTCATATAACATATATATTTATTCTCACCGCATAAAAAGAAATAAAAATAATTAAACACATAAATGTACAAAATAATAATTTATGGACTATAGCCTTTTCATACAAGAATTCAGGAGGCATCGCCTTCCATTAAGAATTCAATAAGCATAGCTTTTATTTGATCGTAGAGAAGGAGGCAGAGCCTACCATATATCGATCAATCCGGAAAAAATATAAATTTTTATTTGATCGTTAGGAAGGTAAAACCTACCATATATGACGATCGATCCGGAAAAAGCATAGTCATTTATTTGATCGTAAAGGAGGCAAAGCCTACCATATATAACGATATATCCGGAAAAACATAGCTTTTTATTTGATCGTAAAGAAGGCAGAGCCTACCATTTATAACGATCAAACCGGAAAAAGGCATAGTCCCACGATGTCTAAAATAATTATGTTCTATAAACATAAATTTAGATAATATAAATTTTACTTACCTCGTAAATGCTTCAGCGGTAAAGACATCGTGCTGATAACGTGTTATAAATCATAACGTGTATATATATGTATAATATTATTATACTACATAAAAGAGAGATGTATTATTTGTTATGGAGAGAGAGAGAGTGGAAACAAGAAACGAGAGAGCAAAATGAAACTTTATTAACTTCTCTCTCTTATTATATCTTTCCAACGTTTACAAGTGAGGTATATATAGTAAGGTTGACAATGGATAAACATCAAATGACTTGGTGAGCAAGTAGCTTGGAGACCAAGCTAAGTGTTAGATAAGATTAGGAGATGATATCAATTGTGATGGATAAACACTTGAGTAATTATCCATTTCTAACATGAAATACATAACTGAAACGATTTATATAGAATTTGAAATTCTTTCTAATTGAAAACCAAGCCTCATAACTTATTTTCTCGCAAATCAATTTAACATGGAAAAAGCTGAACTGAACATAGGCCAATATCAGTAAAGTCTGTTTTGCTATTTTGTATTTATACTGGTTTTTCAAAAGCATATATCAATTTTAGAAAGAGTAGAGTCTTTTTCTTATATGAAACAAGCAAAAATAGGTCCATGAGGAAAATGGATGAAAACGACGTAGGGACGAAAACGACGTAGGAAGTGGAGGTCAAGCGATAAGGGGGCAAATGGTAAATTGCATTACACTTTCTTTCTTTGTCATAAATCATACGCGATAAATTACGTCAACCTGCCACTGGGTCGTTATTCATATTTTCAATCTTCAAAGTATTATTGGATAACATTTTAAATTTCGAATTTTTTTACTAATTTTATAAACTATCAAAATAATTTTACGAATACTTTAAACTTTCAAACTAAATTTTCTATTTGCACCGCCATTAAAAAATGATGAAAAATTAATTTCTGTTTGTTTAATATAAATTTATATAATTGGTAATTTATATAAATATATGATGTATATTATCAATTGGCAATTTCGTAGTTCGGATAAACAAGTATATTATCTTCTTCTACACTAGGTCTCTGGCAAACTATCAGAATAAATAGCAATAAGTTTTCAAAGAAGTTAATAATTTTAGCATTAATTATAATCTAGAGAAAAGTAAGTAATTTTGTTCAAAAAAAAAAAAACTAACCCAGAAAGAAGACATTATTAGAGAATTTTAACTGTGAGTCTCGCTGCCGTTCGAGGTGTTCCTTTCCGCCTCAAAAACAAAAACCGTGAGACATTATATGATTTTATTGGACCTTAAAACTATGTCAAAGTTACGATAAGGAACCGAAGAAGGGAGTTGTAACTTTCTCTCCCAGGTCCGAGTCTCGAAGCATCCCCAAAGAAGTTAGTTGTTTTCAAATTTCCAGATCTCACCAACTTTTTGTTTCTAAAAGTGAAAATTTCTCAACTTTCGTTAGCCATAAATGACAACGTCGGAATTTCACCTTTGACTTTTGGTTCCCTATCTTCTCTCTGGTGGTTTTGCTTCCATTCTGCTCGTCGGCTCTCTAAACTCTGGACGACCAAAGTAATGTCTCTCCTCCTGCAGACCTTTCTTTGGGGGGAAAAGAACCCATGGTCCTGGCAGTATTTGCACCCACCCTATGAAGCTTTAGAGGTCCCTTACCTCACTTACTGCAACCGTTGCAGATCTCTCCTTATTACGTCGTTGCAGATTTCTCTTACTGTGTCGTTGCAGATTTCTCTTACTGTGTCGCTGCAGATTTCTCTTACTGCGCTGCTAAAGATTTTATTTTGTCTGGTTTAAAGGTTCTTTTGTCCCCCTCATCGGTTTTTTTAAATATTGCCTTTGCGTCTTGCTTTGTTTTTTTTTTCTCTCACCTACTTGCTCCATACACTTGCTCCCAAAATTCTCTTGTTTCTCTCTTTGAGCAGTCTCCTCAACCTGTATAAAGATCTCTCACATATACTCAAGAACTGAAAAAGCAAAATGCATAGAAGGCTCATTGAAATTAATCCGTAGATCTCCGTTGTGAATTTCCGACAGAGATACATCCGGTTTGGCTGCCAAAAATAAGCTCACACTCACTGGCCGGGTGACAAACCCCAAGGTCCAAAAATCAAGAGCCATCATCGACTACCCCCCTCAGTACTGGAATCTAGAAAACAGAGTCACTGACTGTGAACTTGGACCTGAAATCTTTCAGTTTCGTTTCGAATAAAAAGCTGATCTGTTGGAGCCTTGGGGGTCCTAAAAAAATTTCACTTTCACTTCAAAATATGGATGTTCATCCATGATCGCATCACTGAATCTCCATTTTACCCTTGGATTCTTTGGAACATGTGGACATCGAGAAATCAGTTAATGTTTGGGGACTGAAGCTTCTCTGAAAACGAAACTATCCTCAAAGCAATTCAGGATGCTCGCTTTTGGCACCTTTTGCAGGGTCAGGATCCGCCATAAATCTCTATCCTACCCCGAGGACTAGAATCCCAAAAGCTCTTCCATCTCCCTCTCTTTCAATTAAGACCGATGCTGCTTGGAAGGAGGACTCTCTCCTTTGTAGCCTAGGCTGGATAAGACGTGACGAGCACCTATCTCTCTGTTTCAAATAATCTGCCTCTGAAAGGTTAGTAGCATCTGTTATCCAAGGAGAAGCATTGGTAATCTGTGAAGACTTAAAAAGGCTCTTACAAAAGGTTTATTTTCGGTTCATTTCAAATCGGATTGTAAGATCCTCATTGATCTCTTTCGCTCTGGAAACTCTTCCAACGAGCTAGTATGCCTGCTCCATGACATTCGTTCTTTTTGTTCGATGTTTGCTGCACTTTCTTTTATCTTTATACTTCGTAAGGCCAATGTTTTGGCTGATGAGGTAGCAAAGTGTGCTTAATCTGTTTATGTTTTTTCCTCATGGAGTCGAAACCGTTTAATCTTAATTAAATCTATTGAGTTAACCAAAAAAAAACTATATCAAAGTTTTTGGTATGAAATAGACAAAAAAAAGTCACTAAGTACTTTAACCTCTAATTTATTAATCAAATTTCGTAAGTGATCAATTAGTGAATTTATTTATCTAACAATTGAGTAAAATTAATCAATTGAATAGCAACATAAGAAAATTAAAATAAACAATAAAATACATAATTCAAACATTAGATTTATATAGAATTTTAAATTCTTTCAAATTCAAAATAAAGCCTTCTTTTTTTTGTATCATATTAATTTTACATGGAAAAAGCTGAGCTATAGGCCAATAGCAGTAAAGTCTGTTTTGCTATTTTGTATTTATACTGGTTTTTCAAAAGCATATCTCAATTTTGGAAAGAGTGGAGTTTTTTTCTTATACAAAACATGCTAAAATTGGTCTATGAGGAAAACGACGTAGAAAGTGGAGGCCAAGCAATAAGGGGTATATGGTAAATTGCACTACACTATATTTCTTTGTCATAAATCATACGCGAGAAAACGTCACCTGCCACAACATCGTTGTTCCTTTTCCTTGTCATCATTATTGCTTTAAAAACCGAGAAGTCCCCACTCACTCCCTCTCACACACACGGCAACCATTTTACTTTCTTCTTTAGGAAGTTTTCTTTGCAATGTCGAATCGGAGGTCTGGTCTTCCGCGGAAGAGCTTTTTGTTCACCATGCATCCAACTCAGTATTTTGAGAAACACTCCCGCCGTCTCGTGGATCCTGGCCAACGTAATTCCCTCTTGATTTCCCTTTCTATCTAACAGAAATCAGTTTCGTTTGATTTTGGTTTTGATACATCCGGGAACTTTCATGATTCACGTGTAGATTTTAGCATGACTTTGAGTCAGTTCTTGTTTCATTTTTAGGTACGGATGCAATTTTTTGTTTCTTTTTGTTGAATTCTACGTTTTTTTTTTTTTCCTTTTCTGTAGCTATCCAAACAAGGCTTCAGATGGCGGTGGATGTCAAGGACAGCCTAGAGATAGCGCATATAACGGCTGAGCACTTGAAGTTTTTAAAATGCTACTTCCCAGCATCCTCAGCTAGTCTTCTACATATTACAAAATCGCTATTCATTGATTATCCGGAGCACAAACTGCGGAACATTCTGGTTGAGATCCTTGATGTTCCGGTTAACCCAAGTAACCGGTCATTTAAGATAATCACAAAGAACCCTCTTGCTGTTATGTTCCTTTTCCAACTGTATAGCCGACTCGTTCAGACAAACATTCCTCATTTGCTTTCCGTGATGATTTCTGCTATATCTGTCCCTCAACCTGAGAATGTCCCTTCACATTTGAGGCCTCAGTTCATAGAGTTGAAGGGTGCACAGATTATGGTAAGACAATGGTTCTTTGTCAGGAAGGAAATCAGAACTTTCAGCGATGTTGAAATATTATTATATCTAGGCCTACACCTATTTACTTTCATCTGAATTATATTATTTGTAAGAGGCCAAGGGCATGGTAGAGTGACTTCTTACTTTTTGGTTTTATTTGCAGACGGTTTCGTTTTTGACATATGTGTTAGTGAGTTGCGTTGAATATATCCGGCCTCATGAAGAAAGCATATGCAAAAGCATTTCAAATTTGCTTGTGACCTGTTCAGATTCTGCTTGTATTAGAGAGGTGGAAACCGTTTGTTCCTTTTCTTTGTTCTTTATTTAATTCTGAGTGATACCATCAATGTTTGCGGGGCGAATTTTTTGCTTTAATTATATTACGTGAAATGCAGGAACTCTTAGCCTCATTAAAGTTTGTATTCGGGATGGATTTCAAAAGAGGCTTATGTCCTTTTACTGACACTCTTTTAGATGAGAGGTATGAGACTTATGAAGCATATCTTTTTTTTTTTTTTTTTTTTTTTTTTTTTTACTTTAAATTTCCATTAATTAAAAAGCAAAATACAAGGCCAAAGCCCAAGACGGCAACAAGCCCAAACAGGGAGAAACAGACCTTCTCATCCTGGAAACCTGCAAGAACAAAAGAACAGGAAACAGACAGAGAAAACCAGAACATGCTACTGAAAGACAGCAAACCAAGTAGCAAGGAGAGTTAAAACCGGAGGAACACAAATTTGAGCTCTGGAAAGGGGATCAAGCCGCGCACGAATGGTCTGCTTAATCTCCTTAACGATGGAGGCCGCGTTCCTATGAGTAGTCGAGTGAATACGCTGATTCCTCTCGCGCCAAATGAGGTAGATGGAAGCTTGGTGAATGAGCTTGAGGATGATAGTTATCTGCTTGTTCCGAGAGGCAGAGTGAACCCAAAGGAGACACCCCATGAATTGAGAAGGTGGCGTCAAACCAGCTTTAACAGTGAAGTGGAGCCAAATGGAGTTGCTGAAGGGGCAGTTAAAGAACAAATGTTCCCTATTCTCCTCTTGCGCATTGCACAAAATACACATGGAGGGAACATTTAGTCCCCATCTTCGCAGTCTATCTCTTGTATGCAACCTGTTCCAAGCAACAACCCATGATATGAAAGCATGCTTTGGGATATTACCTTTAAACCACACCGATTTGCTCCAGGATACCGCAGCAGGGGAAGGGAATAAGGCCAGCCATGTCTTAGCAGCTGAGAATTTGTTTGAGGGAGCATGATGGTCCGGTTTCCAAAGGAAGGAGTCATCATGCTGGCTCTCAATCATACCCTCAGGATTCGGTAATATGTCTCTAAGGAGAGAAATGATAGGATTCCTACTCCTTGAGACAGAGAAGCGCCAAACTGTACCTTGGACAGCGTCTCTAACAACTGCATCAAGAGACAGCCCTGTAACTTGAGGTCCCAAAGGACCAGTGAGCTCAATAATAGGACCAAGTCCCGACCAATTATCCTGCCAGAACCTTGCAGTGATACCAGACCCAACCTCACATACTATGAAAGGCCTAGCCAAGGGACGAAGCTTGCATAATTTTTTCCAGATCCAACTACCAGAGGTGGCTGGGTTCAAATCCCAGAAGCATCGATTTCCAATCAGATTTAATCTTACCCAAGAGACCCACAATGACCCCGCAGCCGAAAACAAAAGCCATATCAGCTTTAAGGCAAGCACTTTGTTCCAGGAGGTTAAACGTCTCAGCCCCAAACCGCCACTCTCCTTTGAAGTACACACAACATCCCACGCAATTTTTGCGCCTCTAGCAGAGTTAGGAGCGCCCTTCCATAGGAAGGCGTTGCACATTTGTTCCATTTTAAGTAGGCACTGATTTGGAAGAATGAAGATGGAAGTCCAGAAATTGATGGTGGAGTATATGACTGATTTCAAGAGTTGAAGTCTGCCCGCAAAGGAGAGATGCCTTGCAGTCCACGAAGAGAATCTGTGATTGATCTTATCAAGAAGCGGCTGGTAATCTTGCCTCCTCATCTTCTGAGCCATAAGAGGAACACCTAAATAACGAACAGGAAGGGAGCCGTGATTGAGATGAAACTGTGAAGCTAAATCACGAACCCCAAAAAAGTCTCCCCCGTCAATTAGAAGAGCCGTCTTCTGTCTATTAATTCCCAAACCAGATCCCTGCTTAAAGTCATCGAGAATGTGGAGAATACCCTCAATTGAAGGCGCAGAACCGTCAAAAAATACCAACACATCATCCGCAAAGCTAAGATGAGTGACGAGAGGAGCATTGCACTTTGGGTGAGGTTGGAATAAGCCATTGACAGCCCCTTTATCCAGAGACCTAGACAAGATATCCATTACCAAGACAAATAAGTGAGAAGACATAGGATCCCCTTGTCGAATTCCCTTCTTACCTTGAAAGAACCCAATGAGCTCACCATGAAAGGCGACACTATAAGAAGGAGTAGATATGCAAACCCATATCCAGCGAATAAACACCTCAGGCAGATTCATAGCTTTAAGAATATTGATGAGGAAGTCCCAATTCACATTGTCATACGCCTTAGAAAGGTCTATTTGCAGGCAGCCTCTAGTAACATTCCCTGGCACCTGAAAATTCTCAACTAATTCCGACGCAAGCAAGACATTTTCACATAAGAGTCTTCCCTTAATGAAGCCTACTTGATTGCCCTGGACTGCATCAGACACAAATAATTTCAGCCTTTTTGAGATGAGGCGAGTAATGATTTTGTACACAGTTGTACAGCAGGCCACTGGCCGAAAGTTGGATAGGTGATCAGCCCCTGTCTCCTTTGGGATAAGAGCAATAGCAGTGGCGTTGAATTTCTTTAGAAGATGACCAGACCTGAAAAAATCCATGACAGCCTTGACAGTACTCTCCCTAACCACTGACCAAGAATCCCAGAAAAACTCTGCAGAGAAACCATCCGGGCCAGGTGCCTTGTTCTTTGGCATTGAGAAAAGAGTAGCGGTAATCTCCTCCTCAGTTGGAATTGCAATAAGTTTGGCAGCCAGGTCAGAGTCACAGCGGAAGGGCTGGAGACTCTTAATTCTGTCCACAGAATAAGGCTGGCTTATATCGCTTTCAGAACCAAACAAGTGAGTATAATAAGCAATGATCATCTCTTTGATCTGGGCCACGTTCTCAACCTTGTCATTATTCTCGTCTCTAAGATAAGAGATAAGGTTCTTGGCTTGGTGAGCAAGCACCGCTCGATGGAAGAAACTCGTATTGGCGTCCCCCTCCTTAAGCCACTTAATTCTGGATTTCTGCTTATAGAAGCACTCAAGAGCCGCAGCGTAAAAATCCCATTTCTTTCTGGCCACATGTTCTTCCCTGAATAGAGAATCAGATGGAGAAGAAAGAAGAGCTTGCTGGATGCTTTCCAAGTTAGCCAATGCTTCTTTTGTTCTCTGTTGAATGTTGCTAAACCCAATTCTGTTGAGCCTCTTGCAGCACCTCTTAGCAGCTTTTAACTGCTCACCCAAAGAAAACATTGAGGAACCCACCGGAATCAAAGAACCCCAAGCAGCAGTTAGAGAATCGATGAAAGTTGGGTGAGTGGAAAGGAATGAAAAGTATCTAAAACACTTCTTCGACCGTTCTGGCTGAATGTCTAAGTTTAGAATACAAGGAGCATGGTCAGATTCACCCGGAGGATCGAAGACTGCCATAGAATGAGGGAAGTCTGTCATCCACTCGCCATTAGCTAAAGCTCTGTCCAACTTTCTGATAATGGGGTTGTCTTGTTGATGGTTAGACCACGTAAAGAAAACACCACGGCTAGGAATATCATCGAGATCATTATCCCTAAGACAAGACTGGAAATCTTCCATGCCCGAGAGTGGGAAAGAGGCCGGGATGACCGAGTAGTGTTCACTGGTGGACGCAATCTGATTAAAATCTCCCAATAAAGCCCAAGGAGTATAGGATAAGGGAGAGGACGAAGACAAAAAAGAAATATCTTGCCACAACAACCTTCTCTCAGTTGGAGTGCTTCTCCCATAAACAAAAGCGACCGCAAACGATCTGCAAACATTTGGCAACTTAACGCTGCAAAGGATCAACTGATCTGTCTTCTTGAAGACCAAAACTGAGACGGAGGGATCCCAAACTATCCACATTCTCCCCAACTCAGAACAACAATAATTATTATCCGAACGCCATCCCGGAAAGGTAGAAGCTAATACAAAAGGAGCATTAGCCTCAGTGACGTGAGTTTCCAAAATACAACCAACTAGAAGGTTGTTAGAAGCAACCCAACTTCTGACCATTCTCTGGCGGCCTTGGCTATTCAAGCCTCTTATATTCCAACAAAAGACCCTCATTAAAAACTTGTAGAGGGGTGTGAAAGCACAGCTTTCAAAGATCAGATGTCCCACTCGAGGGCTGGCCTCGGATGGGAACATAAACTCCAGGCACTGCAGACGCAACAGAACTACAGCGGTTGTGCCACATCTTCAAATGTTTCTTCCTTTGCTTCTTTGACATCGCACCCCAACCCGTAGGCAGAGGGAAGTTATGGTCCAAACCCTGAACACTAACCTCCAAATGATCCTCATCATCCTTGTTTGGAACCGAAGCTTTTTCAAGAGAACTAGCAGAAGTAGTAGCAGGCGAGAAAGAAGTAGAACACACTGGAGGGATAGAAGCTTTACAACCACCAGCCCCAACCACAATTGCCTTCTGTTTCCCTTTAGTAAGAGTACTAACAGACAACTCTTGAATCAACCCCGAGGGAGGAAGTTCATAAATTCTGGGGGGAGTGCTTCTTGAACGCTTACTAGAACGAGATCGTCGTCTTTTGGGTTTAGAGACAACAACAGAGTCTCCAACAGACTGAGTAACGCCATTAGCTCCCTTAGGCAGAGGATCCGGAGGTAAATTGATTGTGGGATGGTCAACCACATTTAACCCAGAGTGAATGGGTTTCTTAAAGGGAGACTTCTTCAAGAGGGGCTTTGGACATCTACTCAACAGGTGACCATATCTGCCACAGTTGGTACAATGAGGAGGAGGTCTTGGATATTCAACCGCGACCCGAGAAGTGTTACCCTGAACATCCCTAACAATGACTGTAGTTGGGAGAGTAGATTCCAGATTGATGACAACCTTCACTTTCGTGATGCCCATATTGATGGGATCTAACCTTGACTTCTCTGTGTGCAGAGGCTCGCCGATTCCACTAGCAATGACACTGATACCATCAAGGGAGTAAAGCTGTGGAGGAACGTTTCTAAGGATTGCCCAAGTCGGAGCAAATTTTAGCTCTTCAAGCTGTAAAGGGCCATCTGGAGACCAAGGGTAAACTGTGCAAGAGCAGTTACCAGCTTGCCAGAACCCTACATCCACCACCCACTCCCTTGTGGCTAATGACGGAATGAATATGAGGGAAGCCGTGTCAGAAATCAGCCTAACCGTGATGTTCCCGTATCTTCCCCAAATTGGGTTTAGATCCGATAAAATCCTCGAGGCTGGAGGGCAAAGGCCGTGAAACTGAGCAACCAAGTGGCCCTTCCACAACTCAGCCGTCTTAAGGAGAACTGAAGGAGGCGCGATAACAACCGGAGTACCATCGTCGAGGAAGGTGGGAGAGGACATTTGCTTTAGATTCCGAAGAGAAGCCTTAAACTTCTGTGCCCAAGGAAGACTTGCATTTGTGGTGGAAGTACCATTCACTTGTGTAGGGTTGACAACTGAAGTAGAAGGCAGGCTAGTTGTGGGTTGAGGCGAGTTTGCAGGAGGAGATATTACAACAACAGTGGAGGAAATCTCAGACACCGTTATCTTAATAGGAGCAACTGGTCCCTTGACCTCGACCAATGAACCGAGTAATTGGTGAGAGCCAGCAGATCCGGCGAGAGGAGCGACGGGAGAGGTTCCAGGAGACGCAAAAGCAGGGCCAGCGGAGGAGATCTCAGACGCTGGGGTGCCAACTGAGGAGCCTGTGACGTGTACTGAGGGAGGCGAGGGTACGGAACCCTTAGTCTCGACCTGAGCAGCGGAGGAGTGAGAAGGAGCGGCGGATCTGTCGGAAGGAACTAAAGAAGGGCCGGCGGAGGAGATCTCAGACGCCGGTAAGCCAACAGACGAGACAGGAATCAAAGCTGAGGGAGGCGAGGGAACAGAGCCCTTGGTCTCGACCTGAGCAGCGGATGAAAGAGATGGAGCGACAGAACTGTCACAAGGAGCGGCGGACGAAGCAGGGAGCTTCGCCGTTGGAAGAGAAGACGCGGTGGACGAAATGGATGCAGCAACGCGGGCAAACTTTGATGTCGGAGGAGGTCTATGGTTGGACCGCTTGTGGCGACCCATCGGAAATTCTCACCTGTCGGCGAAAGGCCGACCGGCGGCGGCGGCCAATTAGGGTAAAGAGAGAATCGCCCTAAGAGTCGCGACTGGAAGAGAGAGAAAAAAGTTTTTTCACGCGTTTTTCACTATGAAGCATATCTTTAACTAAGAAGTTTTATAATTTTCAAGGTGTTGTTTTGTTTAATGAGTACACCTTTTGTTTTTTTTTTTAATTTTGTTTCTCCATATAATCTATCAAGCTGAAGTATCTATAAACAAATAATGACTTCTGTTAAATATTCTTTTTTTGTCTTCTGTATCAGAGTTCTAATTGGAGCAGGGCGAGATTGTTCGGAGCCTTTGAGGCCTTTGGCTTACAGCCTTCTCGCGGATATTGTTCACCTGCAGGTTCGTGCAGAGATCTTTTTTTCTCAGGGCTTTACTGATGAAGAGCTTTAAACTATGTTTAACGTTCATCTTGGCAGTTTGGATTCCATTATAAGAGAATTACGTCATTACATTATGCGGTTATTGCTTTATGAGTGGAAAATCTTAGGAATTTAACATAGCGATCAATCTTTCTTTCCACCATCAGGCTTTCCTTTTGCAACATCTTTTTTTTTGTCGTGCTTAGTGAGTGTGCTTTCCTTTAGATTCCTCTGAATTGAATTAATAAACACAATGTGGCCTCTAGCGCAGATTATCTACCTATTTTCAAGAAACATGCACGACTCTACTCTATTTATTAGAATTCCTACAACATGTTCCCAACTGATGCTAAGTCTTGTAATCTATATTCCCCACCGTGCTTGTCTTCTTTAATTTGACAAAGTACTTAAAATATGCGTACTACAATAGTTTATTTACGTTTCTGAATGAAGCTTCACTTATTACTTCATACTTGTGTTGGATTCAGGTTGAACCAATATTTGAGGAAGGTGTTGATCAGCAGTCAATGGATGAAGAACAGATTTTACTGGTAAAAAAATTCACTAGAGAGCCAATTTAGAATTGGTTAGCTTCTATCCATTAACTAACTCATGCAACACCTGTATATAGGGACGTACACTATATACCTTTGTTGGGAAATTCAGCACTTTCAAGCTAACTATTCCTCAGGTAATCCTATTTGCTTTTCATAATTGAGTGTTGTGCTTAGAAGCTCAGATTTTTTTTTGGATTGGTTTCCTACTGTATATTGACGATGTATTGTTTTGATTTGTAAGTTTACAAACCAAGCTATGCTGCTTTTGTTTTGATGTTTTTCTTTCATGTGTTTGAGATTGTATGTGTAATTATTATTAAGTTGATCCCCTGATATTCAAGTCTAGTTTGCAAGAAGAATTTGCTTTCTTGTTATCTCATTGAATTGCTAATATGATTCTTTCGGAAAATTAAAGTTGTAAAAAGCATCTGGCTCGATATATATGCCATTTCGTATTTTTTTTTCTTATGTTACAAGTAAATGAGGTGTCATGAGGTTAATAAAGTGGTATATTGAACCTTCAGCTAATTCTCTTCTAAACTCCATAATTTTATTGAATATATTTACCTATTCTTGCTTTGTGATACATAGCTTTTGGAGGAGGGTGAGGTGGGAAAGGATCGGGTCACTTTAAGGGCAAAGCTTAGAATTTCTGTTCAGGTAAATTCGTGTTTGTTATATTCAGTGATGACTGTTTTATCATAGGGATTAACCCGAATATCAGCCAATGCGGGGTTGCATGTTTATTTTATAACCTTAACTGCTAACTCATTGTTCTTTTATCTTCTTACGTACATGAATAGTCCACTTTGGTTGTGAAGTTAGATTACAAGTTGGATTCTTACATTTAATACCAGTTCTGTCTCTATACCAAAACATTATGCATCAATTCTTATGGATAACTTCGTAAATTTTGTTAACAATTATTGGATTATCTAGCCGCTTTTATTAATTGCTAGAGCACACTGTTTGCAGGCAGTTTTGAATTTGCAGGTTCTTGTCCTACATTCAAAAGAAGTGAATGATTGTAAGAATCTGATCAAGACACTGGTCATGGGTACTGAATCTTGGCAGATATATATTTTTGTATTGATTATGATTCTATACTTGAAGATCAGTACGTTTTTTCCTGATTGTTATAGAGTAGTCTTTTTCTTATACAAAACAAGCTAAAATTGGTCTTTGTTTAGGAACGAAATCAATAATATGGGGTATAACCCATTCCCATGTGCCTCGAACTCAGGTTTATATTCAATTGTCTCTAGTATCATTGTTGTATTGTTTTTGATGCAAATTATATAATTGTGGAGGTTTCTCCTGCTGCGCAGGGGATGAATCCTCAAGGTCTTGCTTCACAATCACCTGCTCCTAAGGGTGATTCTAGGGTTTAGGGTTTAGGGTTTAGGGTTTAGGGTTTAGGGTTTAGGGTTTAGGGTTTAGGGTTTAGGGTTTAGGGTTTAGGGTTTAGGGTTTAGGGTTTAGGGTTTAGGGTTTAGGGTTTAGGGTTTAGGGTTTAGGGTTTAGGGTTTAGGGTTTAGGGTTTAGGGTTTAGGGTTTAGGGTTTAGGGTTTAGGGTTTAGGGTTTAGGGTTTAGGGTTTAGGGTTTAGGGTTTAGGGTTTAGGGTTTAGGGTTAGGGTTTAGGGTTTAGGGTTTAGGGTTTAGGGTTTAGGGTTTAGGGTTTAGGGTTTAGGGTTTAGGGTTTAGGGTTTAGGGTTTAGGGTTAGGGTTTAGGGTTTAGGGTAGGGTTTAGGGTTAGGG